CACTGTGTAACCTTAAGCTAAATGAAGAAGTTGAAGTCAATGAGGATGAGATATAAACATCCCATCAAGTGCCACCCTCACCAAAATATGGTGGCTGCCTGGGGTTGAGTCTGCATCCAACTCAAGAGGAAAATGTGATGGGATTGATTAGTGATGTCTGCCACAGATCAGGGCTGCAGTCAGCTGGCCAGGACCTAGCTGTCCCTGGAGAAGATGCTCCTTAAGCTCTCTTCCAACTTGACACTGGTCTTCTGTGAGTGGCACACAGAAAACTGGGGGATCCAGAGTCACCGATGCACTGGAAACAGAACTTGGTTTGCTCAACTGTTTTTATATTTTCCTTGGCTTGGACTTGAATAATCTGTCCCCTGATGCCACTGTATTTCAGAAATTGCTACCTAAGGCAAATTCTCCATTTTTAAACTCATTTCCTGAGTCAGTCTTTTTAAGCCCCACATTAAATATTGATCTGCCCTGGAGAAATCTAACTTATTTAGTGGAGACATGTTTGACTCCTCCAGAACTGTCAAACTCAGAAATGGGGCCATACCCCTCCCAAAGCAATAACCATCCAGGACAGTGATAGACAAGCTGAGGACATTGGCACCAGTGTCTTTTGCTCTGAGTCTTGGGGACAAGGCCTGTCTTCCTTGTCTCAGTCAGCCACCTCACCCAGACTGCTAGCACTTCCCACGAGGATGGAAGTCTGAAAGTCACTATGTGCAGGCCAGACTCCCCAACTTGCTGGCCCATGAGGGGGAGCCACAGAAACCTCTTCTGCTTGTTCCCAATGCTCTGCTTCTGGGGCTACCATGACCAAACTCTGACCAACCTTCAGGCTCTGTCGCCCTTCCCTTGATTCCTGATCTGGCCAGGAACTTGAACCCAGGTTATAATCCTCATCTCCCATGAGCTTCAGCTTGATAACCTTTCTGATGGACACCAGGCTGGTTGTTGTTCAGTATCTTAAAGAAATCCTACTGTGGAACTTAGTAGTGTGACTCCAGGGAGAGGAGAGAGACAGAGACAGAGACAGAGAAACAGACAGAAAGACAGAGAGACAGAGACGGATAGAGAAAACTTGCCACCGCATACAAAGACTGAAAGATTTGGGGCCCTACCTTCTTTCCCATGATCATCCTCTTCTATCTCCTGCCCACAGGATCACTGCTTTCCCCCTCTGGGTTGAGCCAGCATAATTTCCCACCACAATCTAGGCTTCCAGGCACAAATATCAAGTTTCCCTTCTAGGTTTCTGCTAATATCTGTTTGGAGCCCAGCAAATAAGAATCTCTGAGGCAGGGAACAGAGCCTATCTTCCTGGATTAGGAAACCAAATTACAATTTTAAATCCCAGTTAATTATCCTGCCATCCCTGCATTCTGTATATTAATTCACCCAGTGATCCTGTAGGATAGGGAATATCATTATCCCCAGAGGCATATAAGAAATTAAGGCTCTGAGGTTGTAGCCACCAGCCACATATGACTAATTAGAATTAAATACAATTTTAAACTCAGTTCCTAAATCCCACTAGCCATGTTTCAAGTGCTCAATAACTACACATAGCTAGTGGTGATCATATTGACAGCAGAGGCATACAGGACATTTCTGTCATCACAGAAGGTTCCATTGGACAGCGTCGTGAAGGGTAAGATGACATTCTTGTGCCAGGCAGAAGCTGAGTTGTTGTTAATTTAAATACCAGATTGGCCACTTGGTCTTTCTACCATCTCCTGTGGCTATAGAGAGGAATTCAAAAGGAAGAGTTAAGATAGGCAAGAATTCAGCAAAGGCATCTCACTCAGAGTGAAGGCTTTGTGGTTGCCAGAGACAGTCCACTTGAAAAGCTGAAGACTTTGACTGACATCTGGTCATCTGACAGCTGTCACCAGCACCATAGGCCACCTGGCCATAATGCTGCCACTTTACCCCATCAGAGAGCTCTTCCAGGCTGAGATGCATGATTGGGGCCTGTCTGCCTCAATGGCAGTGCCATCTCTTATGTCCCCAAGATGAGGAGTCAAGCACATGGTTAAGCAAAAGAATGTCAAATACAAACATGATAGCTTCTGAGACGTTTTGGAAATGGTGGGGGTCAATCAAGGTCATTTGTGACCTTCCTGCCATGTGCCAGTCTCTGAATCAGGCACTTTTACATGTATAACCTGAATAATTTCTGCACAATAAATCATAGCATCATTTCCTTTTTTCCACCATGTATTTGAGCTTACATCTTATGTTTAAACAGCTTTATTGAAATATAATTCATATACCATACGATTCACCCTACTTAAAGCACACAATTTTAGAACACTTATCTCTATAGATATGTCTATTCTAGATATTTCATATACATGGGATCATACAACACATGACCTTTTAAAATCTTGCTTCTTTCACCTTAGCCATGATGTTCTCAAGGTTAATCCATGCTGTAGCATGTATCAGTACTTTGTTTCTCTTATTGCCAAATGATATTCATTTTGTAGACATAGTAAATTTTATCTACCCATCAATTGATGGGGACTTGAGTTGTTTCCACTTTTAGACTATTATGAACAATGTTGCCATGAACATTAGTGTACAAGTTTTTATGTTTTCATTTCCCTTGGGTGTACACCTAGGAGTGGAATTGCTGGGTCACACAGTAACTCTATATTTAACATGCTGAGAAACTGCCACACTGTTTTCTGAAGTGCCACCTGCACCATTTTATATTCTCATCAGCAATGACTGAAGGTTCAAATTTCCCCACATCTTTGCCAACACTTGTTATTGTTTATCTTTTTGTTTGTGGGTAGAAAATAGTATCTCATTGTGGTTTTTTTTTTTTATATTGTGGTTTTGACTTTCATTTCCCTAAGAATAAAGATATTGAGCATCTTTTTGTGTCTTTATAGATTATTTGTCTATTTGCATGGAAGAAATGTTTCTTTGGATCCTTTGCCAGCTTTTTAAGTGAGTTGTTTATCTTAATTATTAAGTTATAAAAGTTCTTTATATACTTTAGATACAAATCCCTTATTAGACATATGATTTATAAATATATTATTCTGGGGCCAGGGATTTAGCTCAGTGGTTCCGGTGCCTGCCTTGCAAGCGCAAGGTCCCAAGTTTGATTTCCGGTACCAAAAAAAAAAATTATTCTGCTCAGTGGTTGTCTTTTCATTGTCCTAATGATACCATTGCTTACACATGTTTTAAATCTTGAAGTTCAATTTATCTACTTTTTTTGTTGCTATTGTTGTTGCTTGTTCCTTTTGTAAATCTTAAACCCTAAGATTTACTCCTATGTTTTCTTTTAGGAGTTTTGTAATTTTAGCTCTTATATTAGTTCTCAAAACCTTCTTCCCCCTAATCCATTGTCTCACCTCACTCCACCCATACCTTCCCCTGTACAACCTCGCTCTCAGGGATCCTTCTAACCACGTACTAAAAAGACCCCTCTTTGAAAAGCAGAGCCTGCTGGATTTTTCTTTCTTATTTTTCCCTTTCTCCCTGTTTCCTTCTAGTTATGTCTAGTTTTCTTTCCCTCTAATAAATCTTAGTCATTTCTGAAGCAAGACCCTTACCCCGCAACATCACCTCATTCTTTATTTAGTTCTGCATCAAAAAAGTCTAGAAATTGGGCTGGTCCTCACAGCTGTCTAGGAGTAGAAGACTGTAATCTCTTTTATCTGAATATCTTTCCTTTTGTTGCTATTATGCAGGCCTCAACTCAATTAAGTCTTAAACAGCCTTGGAAGGTTGACTGCATTGATCTCAATTTGCAAATGAGGAAGCAGAAATCTCAAGGTAACGGGACAGGATGGCCAGATAAAGGGCTATATCTTAAATAGGAACTTAAGATGCTGCTGAGTCAAAATTCTAACTCAGACCTCTGGCTGCTGCCTCAGAGATTTGTCCTCTGGTGAAATGACCCTAAGTTGCTCAAAGGCTGCATTGATAAACATCACTCACACCAGCAGGCACAGAAGATGCAGCTGCTTTCTGTTCCATTCAACAGATGTGTCCTGAGCACCTACTCCTCGCTGGGCCCCAAAGGTGAGGCACATTCGCTTCTAAAGTAGACGGGAGGTGGAGACCAGGCAAACCATCATGTGCCTTTCTCACGTTCTCACCTCTGACTCCAGAGGAGTTACCAAGTCTCCTGGGTGAGCCCCACCCCATAAATCTGGACCATCTAGTTGCTACCTAGTGTCTGGAAAAGATGCCCCGACTTGCTGCTCTTAGCACTCCCTGAATTTCTAAATGGTTTGGGTCAGTTCGGGAGCTCTTCTCGGGCCTGGTTAGTACTTGGATGGGAGGAGGCAAAGTTCTCTGTACAGAACGAAGCCAACTTCAGTTCAGATTCAACCTTTGTTTCGTACCCACACTCCACCACTCTGTCCACCCGTACTTCTTCCCCAGAGGTCTCTGTCCCTTCTGGCCTTGGGGATCAATTAGGTAGAAATGATAAAACTGACACCCAGGGTTAGGTGCCTCAAGGCAGCACTTGGTGTATGTCTGCCCTGCATCTCAGCTGTCATGCCGCTCAGGGAAGCACCCAGCCTGCACAGATACAGGTCCTGGACCCCAGAGAGGACCCCCTGGCTGCATGGGATCCAGAAGACAGAGCAGCATGTTTAAGGACCCAGCAACCCTCTGACTGCTGGGAGGGCTCAGGCAGGGCCAGCAGAGCGTCACAGCTCACAGGAAACCTCTGAGAACTATGGCTACTGGCAGGGAGGAAACCATCTGTTATTTTGTCTTCTATTTGTCTTAGAATTTCAGAGAAAGCGAGCAGTCAGGCTGCTCAACTGTATTGTTCACAGCCAGGGAGGAAGAGTTGGAGTGGGGAGCTCCATCTTCCAAAGCTGTAAAAGTGATCTCTTCTGGGCTCTTTAGTCGGCCATGGATTTCTTCTCTCTTCCAGGTCTAGGTCTTGGCTGGGAGGTGTGGCCTAATCAGGCACCCACCTGTCCCCAGAGGAGCTCAGAGAAGGCCTCGCCCTCAAAATCCCTTGCTTTCTGTCCTGCCCTCCTGTGACTCATGACTTGCCCCACCCATACCCTCCCCTGGACCTTACCAAGGTGTTTTTGTTGAATGTAAAATGATCAACCATCCTAGTTTGCAAACAACCAAGAGGGCTCCCGGCACAGAGGACTTTCCACTTCAAAACCAGCACAGTCCCAGTTAAACCAGGACAGGTTGGTTCTCCCCCGGATGGTGATGACTGATGCATTCGGGCTGCTCCCTGTCTGAAGGGCTTCATAGTTTCCCTGGCATCCTTTGGAGTATCTCAGGTCTCTGGCTTCTGGGGTGAAACCTGGGTATCAGACAGATGAGGACACATCGAGTGGAGACATGGTTCCTCTGCACCTCCAGCCAGCCATTCTGCTGTTCATAGACCGAAATGCACATGACAGCCACACATGCTGCATCCCCCGGCCCAGCCCTGCCATCTTCCAGAGCACCCTTCTGCTTGGCCCTCAGAATCCAGGAAGTAAGAAAGGTTAGGCAGAGAGGTAGTAGCAGCAAGGGTTGGTTACCACCTAACAGCCAGCTTCACTAATGGAACTTTTGTTCAGCTATCGGGTACAGAAGGGGTCAGGCCCTAGAGCTGAGCTGTGGTAATTTCTTTTCTCTTTGTTCATAATTGGCTGAGGGTGGGCAAGCTACCCAGATCTGGCCCAAGATATGTCAAGAGAAATCCACTGGGAAAATTTTTGAAAAGATTTTCTTTTTGATAAAAAAAAAAATAGGCTTACAAAGAAAGTTCTGCCTCTCCCTTCCTGCTTTGGAAATGTTTGAGCAATGACACAATTTTGGAGTTCCTACAGCCATCATGTGGCCATGAGGCTAGGGGACAAGGGAATGAGGGGGATGAAAGAGACTGAGAGGTACAAACCCAGAGGCCAGTCGTGGTTGTGTTACTGAATGGACCGTCTAGTTTTAGTGCCTAGCTATATGTATTTTGGGGGCAGGTTTGACTCCTCTTTAAAAAAGCAATGTTTTAAAAAAAAGCAGTGTAATGGATACCCTGTTGCTTGCTAATGACTTAAAGCCCTAAATAGTGAATAAGGACATGGTTTCCAGGTGAGAATATAACCCAACCTGGACTGAAATGCCCCTGAGCGCTCCAAGACAGGACATTCCTGGCTCTTCCTCTAACTCATCCCTGTCATTGTTACTCCAGGAGGACGCACCTTTGCCCCCCACCCCAAGACCTTCTAGCAAAGGAGAACCAGCCCGTTGCTCTGAGTTTCTTGCTTTGGTGTGAGGTGGTGCTGATAAGTGAGCGAGCTCTTGTGACTCACCAGGGACTCCTAGGCAAGTTACTTCACGTCTCCGTGCCTCCGTTTCTTCTTGTGTCCCAGCGGTGCCTAACTCACGTGGCTGTTGTGAGACTGACCTCGCAAAGCAAAGTCAAATGCATCTAGGTCTATGTTGTGGGTGCAAGGACCACCTCTCGGGTTCTGGAACTCACTAGAACTTGTAGAATTAAGAAAAGTTACTATGGTTGCAGTTAGTAACCATGGCAGCAGAAGGGTACAGATTAGAACCCAAAAAGACAAAAGTCAGAGCCCAGGAGAGACCACCCAGCTTCCAGCTGTCCTCTCCCAGGACAGCCGCATGGATGATACCCAGTTTTCCCAGTGAGAACACATGACAACATATTCAGAGTTGTGTCAGCCAAGGCAGCTCCTCCACATCCTGGTGTCCAGTATTCTTAGTGGTGGCTTATCGCGTAGCTGTGGAGCACCTGCGTGGCTGACCTTAGTTATTCAGTCTGCTGCTTCTGCAGAGGTCACACTGATACATGGTGACCCAGGCGCCTCACCATAAATCACAGTGTTAGCCTAAACTACCCAGTGTGGGCAAAGGCCCCGGGAAAACAAAGATACTCCTATCAGTCCAAATATTGCAAAGGCTTAAAGGGCATCTCTCAGGAGTCCCTGAAATGCGCAGTTTTCAAAGATATTTCATCCCAGACCTACTGAGGCAACCCTTTAGGATGCAGTCATGTAATAAGCACCCAATATCATTTTTGTTTCTTACATAGGTCTGCAGTTCGCCTCCTGCAAGCACATATCCTTTGTCACTAGTGCCACCCTACAGAATCAGACAGCTTGGGTCTAACCCTCTTCTGCACTGCTGAGGGTGAGCACTGTTTCCCATTCCTCTTTCATGATGGAGGGACCTGCATTCTCCTTTCCTTCCCCTATACATCCCCAGGGAAAGAAAAGAACTTGCTGATCGGAGGGTTTTAGAAAGATCAGTGCTCTCCCATACACGCTTCCTCTCTCCTGAGCCGTCCCTCTGCAGACAGGTCACTCCACACTTCCACAGCAGCAGCCGTTCAAGAGCCTGCAGCTGTCCACCTCTGCCCGCGCCATGCCTGGAGACTGTGACAGGTTCAGGCACAAGGACACAGCCAACCTGTGTGGCCTATAGGCCCTAAACCACAATCCCACGCAGGTTTAACAGCTGGGAAAGTGATATTCTGTCTCCACTTGCCTGGCTCCTGTGCTTGTCCCTCAATTGGTTCTGAACACAAAAAGGAAAAGAAAAAGTGATATTAGATCCTCAAATCCCGGAACACAATTTGGACTTCTAGTGTTTGGAAAGTCACAATTAGGTCTCCCCTCAAACCTCTATGTCCTCCTGTTATGCTCCCTTCTCAGGATTTCCTGGCCTGTCCTATTCTCTGGACGTACTCCAGGCTGTCTAGGACCCTCTGAACGTGTCGGGTCAGAACTAAACACAGGTGACTCCAGAGTGGTCTGGCTGGCTGTAATCTGGGGAGGGGCAGATGGGAACTGAGCAACATCACCAGTCCATTTTTTATTTTTTATATTGAGACAGGTTCTCACTGAGTTGCCCAGACTGGGCTCAAATTGATGTGATCCTCCTGTCTCAGTCTTCCAGAGCACTGGGATTATAGGCATGAGCCACCACACCCTGGTAAATCTCTTGATGTCTTCTCAGAAACCGCACAAACACTGCCCTTCCTGGGTGAATTGTATTGCATACTGGGCCTGCACTTGGCTCAAATCCTTTTCCATGTGAAGCAGATCATAACTTGTTCTTTGGCACAGGGCAGAGGAAAATTTCAAACCTCTTCTGAGTGGGCAGTCAAGTTCTGCTTCTCAGATAGGTCTGTAAATACAGAGAGAGAGAGAGAGAGAGAGAGAGAGAGAGAGAAAAGAATCCATCCCCCATTGGATTTAAAAAGTAGGAATCTCCCTCACAAAAACAATCCTTTCTCCCAGAGTTCATCTCAACAATTTTATCCACTCTAGAGGTGTTTTTCAGAGACTCACAAGGCTTCCCAAAATGCTACATGATGGTTAATAGCACAGACCCTCAAACTAGACATGCCTAGGTTCAAATCCCAACTGTAACATCTGTGTGGCCCTGGGTGTAAATTAGCTTCTCTGAGCCTCAGTTTCCTCAGAATCCTAAGGTGAACTTTGTAATAGTACCTGTCTTCCAAGTGCCAGGCACAGTCCCAGTCCACATCATACTCGAGGACTCAAAGCTATTATATCAGTAGTAACTTTAGTATCACAAGTGTTACCGTTAATATTACCTCAGCTAAACCCACTAAAGTAGAGCCAACTGAGAGCCAGGGTGAGTCCTCTGGATAGACGACTGACAGATGGATATTGTGAAGTTCAACTGGGGATTCAAGGTGTTCAAATCAGATTTAGAGTCTATAAAGGAGGAGGGAGGAGACCAGACGGCACAGAATAGTCAGTAAGTCCTGCGCTGGAGAGTCAGAGACCCTGTTCTGCTCTGGTATTGGCTCTGGCCTCCAGGCCTCTCACTTTTGCTACTTAAAAGACAATCCCTGCTACATGGCAGTATTTGGGGACCAGAGAAAGAATATGTGAATCAATACAACAGGAGACTAACTGGAAATAAAAGGCACAGTGACAGTGAATGAACCCTAAGTCATCCAAGTGACAATCTCAGTCCTCCAGGAGGACAGGTCCACGAGCAGCCTGATGTGACCCCAAAGTCAGGAAGTGGGTAGGGGCAGCAGGACGGTGGTTGAGCACAGGTGACTTAGACTTGAAACATGGTTCTGCCACTCACCACCCCAGAGATCATGGGTAAAGGACAGAGCCTCCTGTGGTCACGCAAGAAACAGCACTCACCTCTGTGCGTGCCCATGGAGGCAGGCGGGCTGGTGTGTGTGCATTGTCTGAAAGATGGCAGCCACCATAACAATAGAGAGCTCTGGGATAAAAATCCTAAAAAGTCCAAAACGACAGCCTGATAGCCAGTCTGGAGACTAGGTGGAGAGGGAGCGGAGGCAGGAAAAGGCAGCAAAGAAAAGCAAGAGACGATAGGCCAATGTGGAAACAGACAGGGAAGCCAAACAGGCCAGGACAAGAACTACCAAAGTGGACCCATCTGGGGCCTTCTAACCCACCCTTCTCCATAAACCCTGCAAGGACAGTCCCAGTAACCGTGCACCGAGTGACAAAACAGGAGAGCCTGGAGTAGTCATTAAAAGAAAACTGGATCTGTTCAAAACAATCCATTTAAGAATTCACAGGAAAAATGCTGTACATCCGGGCAACATTATCCTCACAAATAGGAACCAGTTTGAGGTAAAGGTACCGGGGTCCAACTTGGTATTGGGGTGCTTCCTTCCTTGATGAGGCTTGATAAGTGGAACTTCACCCCCCCAAAAAAAACCCCATAATGAGGTCTTTTTGCCTCTTGGCAAGGTGATATTTTGGTAGAAGAAAGCAATAGAAATGGGGAAAGGGAAGCAAGAAGGAAGGCCTTAGGACCTCTTTCCATTTGAAATATCTTCCATTTGGTGAGCCCGGGCTCAGCCTGCCTGGCTCTTCCTGGCGGCGCCCAGCGTGTCATGGCCCCGGCTCAGCAGCATGCACTCCAGCTGCCTGCAGTGCTCCCGGAGCTGCTTCTCACGTGGCAGCAGGAAGGTGAGCACCTTGTTGTGCACGATGCCTCGGTCCTCCTCCTCCGTCAGCCGCTGCTTCATGCGGGCTGCCTGCTCCTCTTGCTGTGCCAGGGCACCATTCATCTGGCAGAAGGCGTCTTCCAGGTAATGGATGGACTTCAATGCCTCCTGCTTAAAGTCCTCCAGCTCCCATTGCACGCCGGCCACCTTCTGCTGCAAAATCTCCAGGTCGGCCGTGGGTGGGAGGCAAGAAGGCCACGACTGGGAGAGGGAAAGGTCCCCAGAATGGAGGCCACTCTCCAACATCTTCTTCCCTTGTAAGGTATTCACCTTCGTGAGAATGGATCCAGCCTGATAGAGGGTCTCCATCCTCTCCCTTCCCTGTTGGATCAAGAGAGGGAGCTAAGAGATCAGCCAGGTCAGTGAGTTCTTCTGACTAGAGGCACAATCATTGGGAGTGGAAGGACACTACCCATTGTGACATCAAGGCCCCATCAGCCAACCAGGAGGAGAGCCACAGCTCATTTGCATATTATAGCCTCCTTGATTGGTTACCTGGAGATATGTTTGCTCATCCTTCCAAGTTGTCTCCTGAAATTTGGATTCTCAACGCAACTTCCAGAACCAGAACTCAAGCTCTCCTCCAACATCCAAGAAAAACCAACTTCCAGAACAGGGGAAAAAACTGGCGAGACAAGGTGGTCCAGTCCAGGCTCACAGGCTGCCAAGACTTGGTGGTCACCCACCCTGACAAGGTGCCTGGTAGGTCTTGAGATGGTGTCTGGGCTTCAGCTCCTCATCAGTACAAAACAAAGACATTGTAAGACATATTACCTAATGCTACATCTAGCCCTAAAATGCTAAAAGAACAATCTGATTCCATACCCATACCCCTATAATAATGCTAGAATTTAGGTCATCTTTAAGTTGTGAGAAATGTACTTAATTTTGCTGTCTGATCCATAACAGTGGCTGATTCAGTATGTGCAGGGCAAAAATGAGTCTCTCATGTTTATTCAGTAGATACTTTCTGAGTGCTCACTACATCCTGGGACCAGGGAACAAGTGAAAAAGTATCAAACACCACATCCCTAAATGTTGACCGACACGAGAAGAAAACATACTGAAGGTGTATCTTGCCCTTTCTACCTGATGATTATAACAAATAAAGGTGTTTCTAGCTAATCCATATTTGGGTCAGTTAAGTACAAATCTCCCTCTTGCAGATCACAGTCTCTTGCCCAGGCCTCTCTCCTGGGCTCCAAAGCTAAACATCTCCCCAGCCACAGGCCTTGAACCCCATCCATCCAAAGCTGAACCGATGATCTCTTCCCCACAATCAGGTCCTGTTCTGTTGCTCCTGTCTGATTAATAACACCAGCCTGGAGCAGCACCCACACCAGCTTAATGTGACCTAAATGTGGCTTAAATGTGTGTCCCCTCCCAAACTCATGTTGACATTTAATCGCCCTCATAACAATATTAAAAGGTGAGAGACTTGGAGAGGCTGAACCTCCTGGTTGGATTTATGTCATTAACTCAAGTGGGTTCCTTATTAAAGGGAGAGGTTGGCCCTCTCTTGTGTCTTTCTCCCCCCTTTTACCCCTTCTGCCTTGAGATGTCTCAGCAAGAAGGACCTAGGTCTTGGACTTCCCAGATTCCAGAACTGCAAGGCAATAAATCTGTTTTTTATACATTGCTCAGCCTCTGGTATTTTATTTTGTTATAGCAGAGCAAAACAGGGTAAGGGATCCACCTAGACTCTTCCATGCCAAAGTGGCTCCAAGTGCTATTTAATCATCGGACCTGAGCAGTCTAGCACCAAGCCACCTGGGCTGGAGTCCCAGGGCCACCACCTATAAACTACCTCTCTTCAACAATTACCTTATCTCCTTAAGCCTCAGTTTCCTTATCTATAAAGTAGGGATATTCATTTGGTGGTGTGCAGCTCTCTGGGAGAAAAAAATTCAAGCTCTGATTTGTAGCTGTTGCCAATTTCCATGGTGTAAATACTCCCAGCAGCATCAATCTCAAGCTCCCAACTTGATGTCACTGGGAAGAGATGTATACAATCAGCTCTCACGAGCCTGAGCAGCCAACTCTGACACCACAGGGCTCACACTGAGGGTTGCTGCCTGTTGACCTATCTACCAGGCTTGTGTAGGTATCCAAGAGGGCACTTTGCAGAGAAGTTCATGGCTAGAGTAAGGTGGAATTTTTTTTTTTTTGGTACCAAGGATCGAACTTGGGTCCTTCCTCTTGCAAGGCAGGCAGTGGAACCACTGAGCTAAATCCCTGGCCCCAAGGTGGAATTTTTAACCACGAGATGCAAAAAGAAACATTGAGGTAGACTGTTTGGTGGTAAGAACACCCGCTGGCCTAGGAGTCGGGACCTGGAGTCTGGAAGTGCTGCACGATCCCAGGGTCGGTGCCCACCCCTCTCCGTCCCTCTGCTGTGTGTGGAGGTAGGATGTGCTTCTCTGCAGGCTCCCGCATACACACAACTCACACAGTCCACTTAGCTGCCTTCTCCCTTTGTGTTACTCAGGACCTTGTTCTTCCACACCAAACTCCATGAGGACAAGACTATGTGCTTCTCACTCTATGCACCCTCAAGGGTCCTGCCTGCAGCCCTGCACACAATGGCAAGGAGATAACTAGATGAAACTGAATTTGTGGCTGTCAAATCCCAGGCACCCCTAGCTTTTCTGCTGACATGATGACACCTACTGGTCTTAGCGAAAACAGCAGCCTCCCGATCCTTCTGCCTAAGAACTGGGTCTGGATTTGGGGGATGATTTTAAAAACAGCTCCGGGTCCTGTGGTATGGGTGCGGGGGGCACATAGTAGGTTCTCAACAAATATTTCCTGAGTTAATGAAAGGAAGAATGTGCCTCTGTCTCCCAGTCTATCATTCTGAGTATCCTTCTATTTTTCCCTCTCTCTCTCTCTTTTGCTTATTCCTGTGTCTTTCTGATTCTTTGCCCCTTTGTTTCCCACAGGGAATGGTGGAAGTCACAACCCAGAGCTGTGAAAGACAAGTAGCAAAAGCCTAGATGGAATAGCAATTTCTCAATTTCCCTGGTGCTTTTTAATGAGGTTTCCAAATGCTTCTCAGAACCAGAGGGAAAACAGTACTGTAGCCCCCAATTTCCACGATCAGTCACCTATGGTCAACCCCAGTCTGAAGATATTAAATGGAACATTCCAGAAACAAGCGGTGTATACATTTTAAATTGCATGCCGTTCAGAATATGTGATTAAATATGGTGCCCTCCTGCTCCATCCACCAGGGTGTCCACACCGAAAATACTGCCCACCTGTTATCCTGCTAGTAGTCATCTTGGCTGTTGGAGCAATGGTCCTGGTGTCACAGTGCTTGTTTCCCAGTAACCCTTTCCTTACTCAAAGATGGCCCCAAAGCACTACAGCAGCCATGTTGGCCATTTGGATACACCTGTTCGCAGAAGGGCTTGATGACATCCTGAGACTTCCAGGCAATGACCTCGGCTGGGTAACTTGATGTGCATGTTCTGAGTGTTCTCCACCTAGACATGTTACCATATCTCCTCCTTATATCCTAGTGTGCAGGAAGGCGAGGGTGTTGGTTCTCTTCAAGGTACCAAGAGACAGGAATCTGAACACCTCTGGGATTTTCAGAAGGGCCCCTACACCTGCTCTATTCCAGCAGTTCATGACCTACCTGGGTCAGGATAATGGGGGGGGGGAGGGACAGGAGAAGTGTGCCAGCCCCACAGAGATCCCAGTTCCATCCCTGAGAGCCAGATTCAACCCAAATGGGATGGGGCTCAAAGAGACAGGCATTAATGGTTTTCTGGATGGGCTCTGGGCACCACCTAGTCTGAGTGCCATTCCTGCTGCTCCAGAGCCAGGACTTGGGAGTGGAAACCCCATGGCTCCCCACCTTCCCAGTTGCTTTCTCCATATGAAATAAACCTTTATCTTTTTAGCATCTGAAGGGACAGGACACACATACACCATAACCCTTCAGAAGTGAAGCTCCTCAAACCCCATCAGTGACAATAGCATCCCCACTACTCCCAACCCATCCCTGGCCAGGGGCCCGGAGTTGGCTATGCTACCATAGTTCTCATCCTGGGGGCTGAGCTGCATAGGGACCCCCATAGCAGAACCAAACTAGGGTTCTATATTCAAGCAAGAAAAAGGAAGGATGGGCAATTCTATCTTCGGAGAAGAATAACACTGTATATTACAAAAGAAGATGCAATGAAACATATTCTATCCCAAAGATGAACTGCTTGCATCAGATTTTGGGCAGAGAGGAAATCTGTTTTCCAGGAGTCCTTTAAAACTGATCTATCTCTCCCCATCTCACAGGGGGGTGGTAGAGGGGGGGAGGAGATTGAGGAGGCCAGAAAAAAATCCAGAATTCAGAGAATTCTGTCACAAACCCCAAGGAGTATGTGAGTGGACATTTCTAAAGGAGAAAGGACGGCTTTTCCCAGAATTCCTTTTTCCTGGACCTTCCATGGCAGCTACACTGACCTGGATGAAGGTGCTACTACACAACTGCCATTTTCCCCGATGTGCCATAAAGAGTCTTCCATTCAGCCTTCCATCCTCCATCCACGTATCCATCCAGCCCACCAGTTTCCATCCATTCATTTACTGAGTACCTACCTTGGGTCCACTGAGCTAGGCCATGGGCATTCAAGAGAGTGAAGAAGATAGAGGAGATTCTGCTCTTGGGTAGCTGGCCTTTTAGTGGAAGGGACAGAGGATAGAGTTGGCAGGTGACACACAAGGCGCTTGGGGCTGGTCCTGGTCCCTGCTGGAAATAAGCAGGGCAAAGTGATAGAAAGCATGCTGAGCTCAGAGAGGAGCTTTGCGAGGTCAGGCATTTGGGGTGAAACAGAAAGAATAAGGAGAGCTGGAGATAATGTTTAAGAAGGAATTGTGTGCCCAGGCCCAGTGGTGCATGCCTACAGCACAATCTCAGCTACTCAAGAGGCTGAGGCAAGAGAATCATAGTTTGAGGCCAGCACGGGCAACTTAGTGAGACCTTGTCTCAAAAGAAAAATATCCAAAAGGGCTGGTGATGTACCTCACTGTAGAGTACCCAGGATTTGATCCCTAGTACTGAACAAGAAAGGAAGAAAGGAAGGAAAGAGGGTGGGGGAAGAAGGGAAGGGAAAGAGAAAGAAGGAATCACAGTGGGAAGGCCTCAGGCAGGAAGGGCCGGAGGAAGCCAGAGTGGACCCATGGCTAAGGTCCCACCAAGCAAGAGGAGGAGGTGGGGATGCGGGCGCAGGGCTGGCAGGCTGAGGTGGGGGACGGTACCCCCAGTGCTGTGTGAGGGCCACAAAGGGCTGCTCTGGCTGTGTGCAATTCCCACCTCTGCAGCTTTATTCCAGTCCAGGAAATGGGGACAAGACTGGGATGCAGGCTTGGGGATCAGGTTCAAGAACAAAACGTGGTGCTATTCACCATGATTAATTAACCCAGTGCCAGAGCCCCAAGGCGCAGTGCTAAAAATACCCGCTTCCCTCTGAGATGCAGCAGCTGCCACCCAGCAACTTTTAGCCGTGCCATTTGTCATAATTTGACACTGATAAGGAGTGTCCACGAGGCTGTGTGTCTGCAAGAATCGGACTCATCGGCAGCCCACCAGCCAGCTGTCCTCAGAGCCCACCCCTGGTGCCTTTCCTACCTCAGCCCTGCCTCAGCTGCCCCCAGCTGCCG